TGTGAAGGTAATGCCTTCCTTTTGGGCTAACTAATGGAGCAGAACCACAGGCTACTGTGAGAATATGTCACCGCTGGGGGCTGCAAATGATATAGCCCAGCAATGGTCACTACAAACTAAAAATAAATATATTTTGGGTGTATTTGCATGGTAGATAAAAATGGGACAACTGGACTCTTGGAGAGGGCTTCGTCAATAGGTGTCTAAAGTGTCACCAGAACACCAAACACATGTATTAGCAGTATTTAAACACTGAAACCTGATTGGTTCCTTTGAATGGCTTAATACTTGTCCTGCAGGTTTCTTTGACCCCCTCTGAGAATTCAACAAAGATCTGCCCCCCCCTCCCCCCAATGGCAACGACTCTTTAAAAATCCAAAAGACTAAACAATGTGTATTCCATGAAATGTGTTGCAAAGCTAAATTCCTGAATGGTTTTGATGGCTACTATTGCAAATGTTATAATATTGTAAATGCGTATTTTGCTTAGCTTTTTAAGAACTGAGAGGGGTATTACTACTGCCTATTGGAAGAAAGAAATGTGTACTATTGAATTTATATAGCTAATGTCTAGATTTATGCTTTTAGCCTATTTTCTGCAACTGTGTAAAAGTTAGAATGTGAATACAAGCACTCCGCAAGAGAACACGCACACTCAGGAATATTCCGCGTGTGACATTGGGGAAGGTCCGTAGTCTCTGGGAGGAATAGCATGGTCTATACCCATTTACAAGGATCTAGAAGTCTGAATTGAAACAGATTTCATTGCATATAAACTCGATCATGTAGATTAAAGGGTGATAGGAATCGGTGAAAGCATGAGAAGAATGGACAATAAACGGGTGACGCTAAAATTTGGGGTGAGGTCCTGAGAAACCGATATGTAAAACTATGACCTTTTTTCAGACAAGGTGGGGGCATTTCCTCCTAACGGGGACAGGCAGTGAGGTCAGATCATCAGGAGGGACAGAGACAAATATTACAACCTGAAAAAAGCCTCCCTTACTTACTGCTCTGGTGACCCCCCAGTCAGCATAACAGGAAGTGAGGGAAGACTCCTGCATATAAGACACAGCAAGAAAACAAAGGTTTTCTGTATTACAAAGCCTAGGCCTCGATGTAATATGTTGCAGCTTACCAGTCCTTATATGTGGTGGCTGCATTCCTTTTTCAGGCTAAGAACATTTTCAGCAAGTACAGAAAATACCCGTTGATCCTGCCAGTAATTAAGTGTCAGATGAATCCACCATGTGATGGAAATGAACTGGGATGACCTCAGGTTTGGACCCAACCCGGTCTGAACCTGAGCTTCTCCAAACCTGGAAGGGTCTTCTCATGAACATGGAAGGAAGCTCCTTCTTTCCAGTTGTGGTGAGAAATCCCCCACCCGCAGGTTGATGTAAGCAAAGGGGCAGGGTGACATCATTGACCTCATATGGCTACATGGCTACATTTTGTAAATTACATTTACCTAACATTGTTATGTGGCCATATAAGGTCAATTACATCAGAAAAAGCATCCCACCTCTTGGTTTACATGCATTTGCTGGGCAGGGAATGGACAGACCAGAGCTGATTGGGTGGAAGTGTCCGTGGCATTTTCATTGTTCACGGGAGCTCAGGTTTGGACTGGGTTCAGGGAAAATCCTCTCTTAGATATGTAACACTAAAGCAAGTTTCCCTTTTGGGAGACTGTGATATCAGTTTTCATCTGCAGGTGGAGCTGCAGTCACAGTCGCATATGAACTTAGGGTGTACTTAGGGTGTACTCACACTAGCCATTCTCCCCTGCTGGTCTATGCTCACATTGTGCAAGACCTGAGCACGCTTCCCGCACACATATTGTGTAGGTCTAAGCATGCTTCTCATGCTCATATTGTGCCAAGTTAAGCTTGCTTCTTGCGCTTATATTGTGCCAGGCGCAAGCTTGTTTCTTGCGCTTATATTGTGCCAGGCCCAAGCACGCTTCCCACGCTCTTATTGTGCCAGGCCCAAGCACACTTCTTATGCTCATATTGTGTAGGCCTAAGCATGCTTTTCTTGTTCATATTGTGCCAAGCCCAAACTTGCTTCTTGCACTTATATTGTGCCAGGTCCAAGCATGCTTCTTGAGCTTGTATTGTGCCGGGCCCAAGCATACTTCCCACGCCCATATTGTCTAGGCCTAAGCATGCTTCTCGTGCTCATATTGTGCCAAGCCCAAGCTTGCTTCTTGCGCTTATATTGTGCCAGGTCCAAGCATGCTTCTTGAGCTCGTATTGTGCCGGGCCCAAGCATACTTCCCACGCCCATATTGTCTAGGCCTAAGCATGCTTCTCGTGCTCATATTGTGCCAAGCCCAAGCTTGCTTCTTGCGCTTATATTGTGCCAGGCCCAAGCTTGCTTCTTGCGGCCATGTTGTGCCAGACCCAAGCATGCTCCCCATGCTCACATTGTGCCAGGCCCAAGTACGCTTTCCACGCTCATATTGTGCCAGGCCTGAGCATGCTTCTCATGCTCTTATTGTGCCAGACCCAAGCACACTTCTTATGCTCATATTGTGTAGGCCTAAGCATGCTTATCATGCTGAGATTTTGCCAGGCCCAAGCGCGCTTCTCAGGCTCATAGTGGGCCAGGCCCGAGCACGCTTATGCGCTCATATTGTGCCAAGCCTGAGAATGCTTTCCATGGTCATATTATGACTGGCCCAAGCCTGCTCATATTGTGCCACACCCAAGCACGCTTCCCACGCTCATATTGCGCCAGGTCCGAGCATGCTCATATAGTGCCAGGCCCAAGCACACTTCTTATGCTCATATTGTGCCAGGCCTGAGCATGCTTCCCACGCTCATATAGTGCCAGGCCCAAGCACACTTCTTATGCTCATATTGTGCCAGGCCCAAGCAAGCATCCTGTGCTCATATTGTGCTGGCCTGAGCACACTTATGTCATCTGTACCGATCCCCCCTGAGTGGACATAAATTGATCTAATTTGCTTCAGTGTTCAAGTTCCATGCTCGGGCACGGTTAGAGATCACATATGTGTACCGTGCCAGAGTACAACTGAACTGTGCCCCAGACCACCTCTTTCAAGTGGGCCCGGGCACGGTATGCTAAACCGCATCCGAGCATGTTACAGAATAATCACACCGGTCAAACGAACTGGACTTTGGGGGTCATACCTGCTTGAGCACGTTCCATACACCCTAGTATGAGTACACCCTAGTTTGCGGCATGACAGTAGAACGCGGCACACTGACAATTGTAAGCAAGTAACTACTTTGGCATAAAAAAGTATATTAGCTGTCACATAAAGGTATATCCACCGAGCTGAGCAATAAAACGAAACTATGACCGGGGCCAGATTTACTCTCTCTGCTGCCCTAAGGCCAGTTTCTGCAATGCGCCCCCCTACCCGCTAACACCCCTCCCCAATGGAGAATGGCAGACCTGCAGGCTACATACAAGTGATGTCGGCAACATCACCGGGATCACTTGTACAAAACAAGTGGCGGCTTCCCCACTGTACAATTAGCTGTGCTTGCCCATAGCAGGGCTAAATGTAGAAAACAACTACTCGCCCGGCGCCTGGAACTGCATGTCCTGGGCGTCGGGAGATAGTAATTCCACACCCCTGCTGCCCCTCTACTCCCTGCTCTCCCGAGGCCGGGCCTTGTTTGGCCTTGTGGGAAATCCCTGACTATGACCCTTCTAATAGACACCAATGATGGATTCCTGCTCATTTGTTGGTTTTGATGAACCGGCTTCTAGTGTTTGTCCTTTTGAAGAGTGCTTGTTGTTCCAATAAACTCCACTTTCTTTACGAACAGTAAATGGTGGCATTCTAGCAACTGTCAATAAACAATAATGTTTGCATAGTCAGAAGGTAACAACAAAATAGTGTTTGTATTGCTAAAGTACAATGTTTCCCTCCCAAACCTAGAGAATGCTAAATTCGAAGCACGAAATCTGCCATTACCATTAGCTCACCTATGCAACAAAATCATCAATTATATCTTATTTTCCCCCCAAGCTTCCTCCCTGTAGCTTTAGTAAACATTTTTAGAAAGAAATATGATTTCTTAATTCATGTGCCTGTCGAATCATTACGCCAAATGATACTGACGGAATGTCATGAAGCAGTATCATAAAATACATACAGACATTATTTTGGTGCAATAAACATGTGTTTTTTAAGAAGACTTCTTGATAAACTTACATGTTTATTACTTGCTAAAACATGTTTCTCAAAGTGCCACACCTATATTTCGAGGGGCTGAATTTTGTGACCATTTTAAGGATTTAAAAAAATAAATAAAGAGACAGAGAGAGAGAGAGTGAGAGAGAAATTCGACAATTTACCCCCCGAATCATTTAAAGCAAAGAATTCATTTCGGCCTTTTCAGTTTTGCTGGTGATATACTAGTTGGGCGTGGGTTTTGCCGATGGAACCCGTCTCCGAAGCATGGGTGGGGCACTGAAACATGCATCCTTATATTTTTGCTCCTTATGAACCAGATAACACATGAGATGCAATGAGGTTATTCAACACAAGCTTTAATTTGTCCGAATTGCCGATTTTTTTGCCGAGAGTGAAAGTGATCTTAGCGAATTTTAGCCTAGCTTCTGATGTGGTAGACATTGCATCTTATGTGGTGCGTATCTGGTCTTTTATTCTTTGTTTTATAGTGTCATTTCAATGTAATGTGCTGTTTTTTTGTGTCTTTGTTGTCTCTTTTTTTTCTTTGTCCCCTCAACAGCATTTTGTCCCGGTCAGGCAAGAAGGACAATCAAGATGCCTCCAATTTGACAGTGCCCATGACTATGTGTCTTTTCCCTGTGCCATTCCCACTCACCCCATCTCTAAGACCACAGGTCAGTTCCATCAATCCTACTGTTACTCGCTCCCTCCTTTACAGCGTCCTGCGAGATTCTCCGTCGGAACGAGGCCAACAAAGCCGCGATGCCCAATTGTCCGAGTACCCTTCTTTGGATTATCAGGGGCTCTATGTGACATTGGTTTCATTGTTGGACCTGGTGCCCTTACTTCAACATGGCCAACATGGTAAGAATTTACTACTATTGCTTTACGAAACTGATGACGATGATGATGATGGCAGATCTGCTGCTTTAGAAACACAACCAAGTCAACCTTAAAAGCTGCTGAAAAACTTTTCCTAAAGTGACATTATACTCAGGAGTTAAAGGAGAACTATGAGGTGAGTGCTTTTCACTCACCTCATAGTTCTAGCCGACCTGTGACAGTGAGACTGTCACAGGTCGGCTCAGTAGATCGGGAGGTGAGCGAACACATACCGTGTTCGCTCACTTCTCGATCCTGTCACGGCTCTCTGCCGTGACAGGGGAGGGGCTGGATTCCCCCCTCCCCGCTCCGATCCGCCAGCGCTGACTGGTGGAACGGACAGGGGAGGGGGCGGTTACAGCTGGCTCTGCCTCTAGATAGGCAGGGTCAGCTGTCACTCACGCAGCTGGGCGGATCAGACATAATTGTCGGGATCCGCTTCAGCTGCGGCGTCTCAGTATACCGCAAGCTGTGTTGTAAAGTAGCCACCGCTCCAAGCTCGCTCCCGGGATGGACTACAATTTCAATACAAATTAGTAAACTAAACATGGATTGTAGTCCGTCCCGGGTCGGCTCAGTAGATCGGGAGGTGAGCGAACACATACCGACGTTCGCTCACCTCTCGATCCTGTCACGGCTCTCTGCAGTGACAGGGGAGGGGCTGGATTCCCCCCGCTCCGATCCTCCAGCGCTGACTGGCGGAACGGACGGGGGAGGGGGCGAGTACAGCTGGCTCTGCCTCTAGATAGGCATAGCCAGCTGTCAGTCACGCAGCTGGGCGGATCCCAGCACAATTGTCGGGATCCGCTTCAGCTGCGGCGTCTTAGTATACCGCGAGCAGCAGCTTGCGGTATACTGCGGCGTCTCAGTATACCGCGAGCTATAGCTCGCGGTATACTGAGCCTAGGGTGACAGGAGGATGCTAGTTTGTGTCCTCCCGTTACCCTATGGGGGAAAAGCCTTAACCCCATAGTTCTCCTTTAACATTAATTTATTTTATTTGTGTATCACTCGTTTAGTTTACTAATTTGTATGGAGATTGTAGTCCATTGCAGGAAGTGTGCCCAATGGAAGTTTTCTCCTTGCTTCCCATTCTGGTGACAACTCACACATTTTGTATTTCCCCTCACTTCCAGCCTTGGTGACAGTGATCAGCAGAACAAACAGAGAGGACAAAACTCCCTAACCGGACATAAAAACCTTATAGAGGTTCGAACCCCTCTCCATTCTATCCAAAACTAAAAAAAAGTTTGGGCTATACATACACTTTAAGAATGAGCACTCTGTACATTGTAAGGTCATGTAGCAATGTATGTTTTTTTTAAACTTTTTGAGTAGATCTCTGAGAGGATCTCTGTTGCTGCCACAATGCCCCATCAAATATGCCCCCATGTATCACAATGATTTTTACTTATGTACTTAAGTTATATGTTATATTGCCACTGGGAATGTGCTCGTATTCTACTCTCTTTATATATATATATATAAAGGCCACATTGATTATTTCCATTACCTCTGCAACAACTAAATCTTACAAAGGTCATCTATACAAAGGTGAGTTTGCTTCTATAAGTTACCCCTGTGGCATAAAGCTATTTCCAGGAAGGTTACAGAGATATCACTCTTTAATTCTACAGTGATTACGCCTGTCAGTTCCACATATATAATAACTTAAGGCCTCATTCACACTGCCGCGCATATATACGCGCGTACGTGCGTATTGTACCAAATGCAACATATGCAAATAAATGGCCTCATACACATAGCCGCGTATGGAGCCGTTTATTTGCGTATCGTATATATATATGCGAAAAACGGGATGGAACCGAGATGCGTCCGGGCAGCGTATTTCTGCGTATTTTACGCGCATGCGCCTATTTGTGCGTATATACGCACGTATGTGCGTACAGTTCATTAAAATTTCCATTAGTGCACATACGCTTGTATATACGCGCATAAACGCTCGTATATACGCGCATAGACGCGTATATACACAATATACAATTTTGCTTGCATGGTGTGTGAATGAGTCCTTATAGTACATGGTGATCAGCACATCCACTTCATATAAAATGGTTCATCTTTATTTGTTATCCAGTAAAAACACTGTCGGCCAGAAAGGATGAAACTTCAGTCTGAATGTAACAGGGGGTATAAGACACATGAGTCATTTGTTTGTTTATGAAGACTCAGCAGTGACATATTAAGACAGCAAATACATCTCAAATAAATAAATGTCTCCGAAGTTGGGAATTCCACTGCCATTAAATTATAAATGTGTGTTACCTCCTGATAGCCGTAACGCATTTCGAGTCGATGTGGGTGAAAAAGCGTTGTTGCTGCCAGGGTGGCACACACTTATCATGCATTCTCAGCATTGTGGCACACCTATATGACTGCATGTGTGTGGCTTGAATTTCAAAATGTGTTTGCTACCTAGAATTACTATGTCACTGACAAACTAATTACTCATCATTGTGTGTTATACCTCATTTACATTCAGACTGATGTTTAATACTTTCTGGCTGACAATGTCTTTAGTGGATTACAAAAAAGAATAAACTTTTTTTTGGTGCTGGTCACCATTGTTTTTTCTGTTTTTCTGTAGCAATGAAGTATATTAGACCATGCACTCGGAATATCAGCAGGTTTAGCTGTTGTTTTAGATTTTGGCCACTAGGGGTGCTGTGACACTTAGTTTTGCTGAAACATATATGGAGGTCTCAGATATAACCAAACAATAAAATGTTAAGAAAACAAAATCTGCCCTTACCGGACTGGTGACCATTTTATATGTCTATTATTATGTGTGACTTGGTTGTGGATTCTAAAGCGGTAGAATGTAGTATTGTATGCAACACTTTTATGTCTTATTAAAGGTTTAGACCAACCAAGACTGCTATTTCAGTGTTTGGCGGAATGCTGGAGAGGTTAATCACCTCTGGCAGTCTCTTCCATCTCTTGGGGACTCTGTTGGTGAAATCTCTGCCCCAAGTTCCTAGATCTGTACACTTGCTGTGCCCATTATAAGAAGTGTTCCAATCATCCCTGAGCTGAGTTTCTGGGTCTGTACACCTGCTGTGCCCAATATGAGGAGTTTCCATGATCCCTGTTCTGAGTTCCCAGGTCATTACACCTTCTGTGCCCATTATGAGAGGATCCCACCATGCCTGTGCTGAGTTCCCTGGTCTGTACACCTGCTGTGCCCGCTATGAGAGGCTCACACCACCCATGCTGGACAGAAAAATCGCACCATTGAAGTATTCGAGGCATATAGAAAGATGAGGTTAACTCAGTCCACCAGTTGCCATGTACAAGTAAAATATTATTTTTGGGTGCATTTGCCCTTTACAGCTGAGAAGCAATTTCGTTTGATGAATTGTTGTTTCTAATGCCCAATTGTGCTGCTTGCCTTACCAGTCTGGCCATCTTTTACAGTATGAGCTAGATACTGGGAGGGTTGTACTTATATATCCACTTCATACATGTTCTGTGTCTAAACTAACACACTGCACACTATAGAAAGAATTATTTTTAATAATGTTTGGTATAGAAAGGTTTGGCTGTGTTATCTCATGCAGAACAAAGGGAAACCAGTGTGGAAGTTGGCGGCCATTGGCATTCAGAATGTGCTAACTGCCTGTCTCTGCTTTGCATGCTTTCTAGAACATTGGGAAGAAACAAGCACGTAGCCAGTAAAGTCAGGGGAAGTTA